TGCATTATCATCACCATAATATAGTTTGACCATATTTCGAGGCATTAGAGCTGTTTCACATATACAACATGGTATTCGCAATCTATTAACCATTTTCTGCAAACACAAATACTCGTATAAGGGAAAGAAAATGGTTTTCTTAGGCCACCGAGGCTTTACAGGTGCTGCGGTAAAAGTTTACACACGCATCACAATACCCAATTAATCACTACGATTTACGCTGAAGTTATAACATCGATGTTATGAAAGTGGCCAATCACAGTCATTCCATTCTTCAGAGGAATAGCTATGATTGGCCAGTTTCATAACATCGATGTTAAAACTTTGGCGTAAAGCGTTCCGTGTAAACGTAGTAATAGACGATTGGGCGCACGCATAAGGGTACGTTTCCACTGAGCACGTCACGACGTCACGCGTCGCGTCGTCCACCGTGTCACGACGCGACGCGAAAAAGAGAAGTTTATAATATTATAATAAAATTGTATTGATTTTATTTCGTTGCAATAACACAATATAGATTAATATAGATTATAATATAGACAATATAGATTATAATATAAAATAATAATACTACATATATCAGTGAAAACATTTATATATTCATTTATATAAGTATGAATAAGCCACTAAACCTAATTAAAATTATTTCTATATTTTCTATTAAATGTTATTTATTAATTGATATATTTCTAATATATTTATTTATTTGATATTCGATATTTTCGATATTCTTGAGCCGAGAATATTGATCTTGGAAAAGTAATATTGTCTCGTATCGAAATTTATTAAATCAATATTGTCTTGATATCGTCTTGATTTCGAGACAAGACAAGACAAGAATCTTGATATCTCGAATATTGCGTGCATCACTAATTATCTGTATTTGTAGAGTGTGTCATTATATGCCGTTTAAAATTAGAGAGAATCCATCGCATTTTGGAGCGTCTTCTTTCAGCGATTTTAGTAATGGTTGTCATGCTGGAAAATACTGGACATATAATTTTTGCCTCGTATGTTACATCGACATTTTTATTTCGTTTCATTGAAACGTTGACTACTGTATCTTTTAAAAGTAATAGACGATCGGATTTGTCAAATTCGAGATAGAATCTTTTATTATTTTTCATCATTGCTGTAATTAGTCGTTGTAACTTCTTTTTCTGTATTTCTGTATCAATTTCGGTGGGATGATTGTGTGCTTGTTGAATAGAAGATCCAATGTCTTCGCAAAAATTTATAGGTTTATCTTTGATATATTCAACTAACTGTTGAAGTAACAGTTTGTCTCCAATTACAAATTTAAATTTCTGTGGGTTTTTGTAATATATTCCATAATAATTTTTCAAATCTTCATTTTTGTCAATTAATGAAAGCATCGATGTTTGAGCAAATTTTTCTAATTCAGAAATGACATCCTCAGAAATTTGTCGAAATGAAATCGAGTTATCAAGATTGCAAAATTAAAAAATGTTTTTTATGTAATTTGGGACGTAAACTCCCAATTGATTTTGAATTTTAGTCCAGAAATGCGAGCGAAATTTTTCTTCTTTTCTACATTTGGAATAGAATTACCTTCTTTGTCTGGATTAAACATGATACTTATTTAGAAGATTTAATTAGTATCGGGTTTTACACCTGAAACCGAAAAAGTTATTTAGGCTATAAATTAATATATTTATTCATATCATTCTTTGCTTTATTGTGAAAAATGGAATAATATACCTAGCAAACATAGATATATAACACAGATATATGAAATTATATGTATGTGTTTACTGGTAGAAAAGACTCAATTGCAGTATATTAATGTTATTTCTTTAGTTTTTTTTATTTGTATTCGTGAAATGTAAAAGAGAGCCTTATTAATTGTATAATTACACTTCAAAAACTTTCTCGGTAATTTTCTTATTTGAACTATATGAATAAAATAAAGGTACGTTCTGATGGGTGCCTTCCAACAAGCGACACAGATGACACGGTGTGACACTGTGTATCAGTATGTCCTTGTTGTTCGCCAATGTTAAACAAGGATGAGATGATCACTGTGTTATACTGTGTCGCTTGTTGGAATAAGGCATCCTGTGTGTTTATGTAAAAATTGCTGACAAATTTAAAAATTTCAGTAAATTGGCATCAATTATGTTAATAATTCAACAAAACTAAATTGTGACCAAAAATCATCATTTTGACTTTCATGATGTCAAAATAAAGTCATTTTAATTTTTATTTGACTTGGAGGACTTGGAACAAATTGTTAATGGTGTTAGAACTATCTGATCAGGTAGTTCTAACACCATTAACAATTTGTTCCACTTATGTTAACAAAACATTTGTAAGTGGTTCTATATCCTATATAATAGAGATGTCTTATTAGATGTCTATTAAGACATGGCAGTGTCGCTGCGCCTGGCTTAGCGCCGAGACACTACCGTGTCTCTGGATATATTATTTTTGTATAAAAGAAATCATGTTGAAAGTGTAGAAAGCATTTTTAGAAAATACATTTATTGTAATTATTATTTATATTTTACACTTGCCTGCGCGACAATATTTTATAAATAGCTCATTTATACACTTGGCAATGAAGCAGTTTGTATCGATATTAATATTAATACACAAATATTGATACATATCACTATACTTATGTATATTATGGCAGCAAGGTATCGCGTTCCGGAATATTCTTGATTACTCGCGCGGTACGCGATTGTGATAGTGCCTTATTAGCTCATTACTTATAGAACATATTGTTCCCAAATAAGTATCTATATATACCTGATGTTAAACAAAATCTCACAAAGAAACTTAAAACCTTAGAATATCGGTCAAGATTAAATTAAAACTTAACACATATTACATGTGAAAGAAGATAAATTAAAAACACTCTTAGCGATAATATTCTAACAGTTCATCTTATATGTACACAATAATTTGCTCAAATCATATATAATGTAGCTGTATAAATATTAACATATAAAATAAATTAATATTAACATATAAAATAAATTAATAAATTATAATTATATTAGAATAAATACTTATTCAAATTTATTCATTCCTTTATGATCATATTGTCCCCAAATAAGTATCTATATATACCTGATGTTAATCAAAATCTCACAAAGAAACTTAAAACCTTAGAATTTCGGTCAAGATTAAATTAAAACTTAACACATATTACATGTGAAAGAAGATAAATTAGAAACACTCTTAGCGATAATATTCTAACAGTTCATCTTATATGTACATAATAATTTGCTCAAATCATATATAATGTATAAATATTAACATATAAAATTTATTTTATATTAACATATAAAATAAATTAATAAATTATAATTATATTAGAATAAATACTTATTCAAATTTATTCATTCCTTTATGATCACACAAACATACGAAACCAATATTTTATCGTTCATCCGTACTTCTCTTCGTGATTCTATACAGTCATATCGTATAGTACATACAGTTATACATACATGTATATGGCTAGACCAAAGTATTCTCACGCTGTATATACAAAATGACGAAATACTTAAAACAACGATCGTTAGAGTCATATATATATATGATATATATCATATATATATATATATACTTTTTTTACAATGCCGGCGACAGCCAAAACTTTTAACAGTTTCTCGTGTTCGGATATATATATATATATATATATATGTAAGGTCTTAATTCATTCGCTGTAGAATTACGTGCAACTTCGGTGTTTCTTCCAAAAATCTGGAGTTATATTTTATAAGAAGATACAAATATGTCCGATTTAACAATTAAACATTAATAATTATAACATTAATACTATAATGAACACGTGGTCGAGTCCTCACCTGGAGAAGCCGAAGAAAAAGATGTCGTTATTCAACAGGTAAGGGCTCGTCTCAGGGTTCCAATGACTACCGGAATAGTCTCACCAAAATGAGTGGTTTTTAACTACAACGAAACCAGCATTATGAAACGCGGATTCATCGTACTCGGTTTCGTGAGAACAACCGTCACGGGCGCATCTCCGTCTTCCTCGTACCACTCACTCGCTGCGTGCCACGAATCTATCCCCTCCCGGGACGACTCCGTGTCCACGGCTAGTGCGTGTTATCTGGGGTGGGGATGTCTCCGCATAAGGTATATCCTACCTTACATCCCCCCCCAACGGCGAGACTGATGACCGGTCCAGGGAAAGAATCTCTGGAGCAGCAAACGCACTGACCGGAATCAATCTGGTTATGTGATGACGATTCGATTCCGCTGTTTTTTTTCCAGTATTTACTTCGTATATTGTATTTGAAACTTTCTTTAAAATTTTGTAAGGTCCCTTTCGCACTTTATCAAGTTTTCTTCTGTTTAATTTGTTTCCGACGCTCACAAACACAAGATCGCCGACTTTAAA